TGAGGCGTCGAATGTCGTTCTGAAACACGAAGAAATTGCTGCCGAAGTGAAGCAGGGAATCAGCAAAGCTGTATCGAAGGAGTTCGACGAATACCTGAAATCGGGTAGCACGCTCGAACTCAGAAATCCAGACGAACTGCGGACGCAAAGATAAGCTGGTATTTTCCGTTTTCTACATCTCCTATTCTTGCACTTGCAAGTGATGTCGCCGTTAATCCCATTGCAGAAACTTCAATTGACTGGTCTTAACGATGTTTTTCAGCATAATTAATAGAGGGGACAGACAATAATCACGCACGCAGCTTTCGACAACAATATTTCTTGGACACGAATCAACAACTTAAAGACGAGGCTTTTTCCAAAGCCTGTCGGAAGAACTGCCAATAAATCGCTCCCATGCACAACCGTTGAGATCGCTTCTTTTTGTTCGTGGCGTAATTGACGCGACATACCCAGCTTGGAGAGAATGAATGAATGAATAAATGAATGAGTTAGCTTTAATAATTACTCCTTTAAAGGCTTTTCAGCAACTATTTACAATGGTAGACAATTTACAATCACAAATGAACAACTTAAAATAGGGTAATAAAATGAAATATATATATATATATGTCCAATGGGTATCATACAAACTGACTATTAATGTGCCCCTCTTAGTGAGTCCTCCAAAGAATGTTTCAGTGACCTTACTGAAGGAAAGTTCACTAGGTCACTACTCAGGGAATTTAATAGCGAACTGCTCTATAGGCAAAGGTTCGTTGACCGTTCGCGGACTCATAAAAGGGATCTGAAGTTTGTTGCTATGCCGCGTGGCTCAATCATGTATGGTGGTACGTTTTTGTAACTTGTTACATAAGTGGTCGGGTACTAAATTATTGGCAAACTTATAGGCCATAACTGTATCTCTAAGTTGTAGTGTCTGGCTCACTGACAACCAATTAAGTTGGTGCAGAGAGCTGAATTACAGGTTTGTTACAATGAGATGTTGTTAAGGTTGAGAACAGACGTCGGCATTTTCTCAGGCGCCTCTGGCAGCCGCTTCAGTCCATATCGATCTCACCTTCCCACCCATGGCACCCCAGGGGAGGACATCCATCACACACTAATCCCGTGTGTGGGAAATCAACGTCTCCTACCCCAACCCTGCAGGAGACGGGACCTCCATTTATTCGTCCCTA